GAAGGATTCATTAAATTTTTAATTAAATTGTATTAATTTGTTGTTTGTTTTATTGATTTATTATTTTTTTATTGATTTATTATTTATTTTATTAATTTATTATTTATTTTATTAATTTTAATTTTATCTTATTTTTATTTATTTTATGTATTTTAATTTTTATTTATTTTTATTTTTTATTTTAATTTTATTTTTTATTTTATTTTATTTTAATTTTATTTTATTTTTATTTACTTTAATTTTAATTTAATTTAATTTTAATTTTATTTCATTTTTTATTTTATTTTTATTTTAGTTTATTTTTATTTTATTAATATTAAAATAATAACAAATAATAAATCAATAAAATAAATAATAAATCAATAACATAAACAACAAATTAATAAAATAATAAATCAAATAAATTAAATTAAATAAAAATAAAATTAAATTAAAAAATAAAATGAAAATTAAATTAAAATAAATAAAAATTAAATTAAAAGAAAAATAAAATAAAATAAAAATATTAAAAATATTTTTAAAAGAATTTCAGAATTCCAGGTTTATTAATAAAGAATTAATAAAAAAAGATATGAAATAAAAATATGAAAATAAAAATGTGAAAATAAAAATATTGAAATAGAAAAATTAAAATAAAAATAAATTTCAAAATTAAAATAAAAATAAAATAAAAAATAAAATAAAAAATAAATTAAAATTAAATTAAATTAAAATTAAATAAAAATAAAATAAAATTAAAATAAAATAAAATAAAATAAAAATAAATAAAAATAAAATTAAAATAAATAAAAATAAAATACATAAAATAAATAAAAATAAGATAAAATTAAAATAAAATAAAATAAAAATAAAAACATAAAAAATATAAAAAAATAATTTCAGAATTCCAACTTTATTCAGAATTTTTCCTTCCCCCCAGAAAACTCGTCCCTCCTCCCCCCCCTCCTGGAGATGCTGCTGAAGCTCCTGAGGAAAATGATCCCTCTGGAATTCCCCTTCCACCTCACCCTGCTGAGCGTCTGCTTTGCCAACTTCCAGCAAATTCCCACCGGGAAAAATTCCATCCATTCCTACCTGAAACCTTCCAGGGTGAGTGGGGAAAAAAATTGGGAATGAGGGGTTGGAAATTTGGGAATTTGAAGGCTCAAATCCTGGGAATTTTTCTCATTATCTCAAATTTTTCCATCCCAAAAATTTAGGGATTTGGGAATCTGGGAATGCTTCAAATTGGGATCAAATCCCTCCAAATCTTGGGAATTTTTCCCTTTATCCCAAATTTTTCCATCCCCAAAATTTAGGGATTTTAAGGATCAAATCCTGGGAATTTTTCCCCTTATCCCAAGTTTTTCCATGCCAAAAATTTAGGGATTTTAAGGATCAAATCCTGGGAATTTTTCCCTCTATCTCAAGTTTTTCCATCCCAAAAATTGTAGGGATTTGGGAATCTGGGAATGCTTCAAATTGGGATCAAATCTTGGGAATTTTTCCCATCTATCTCAAGTTTTTCCATCCCAAAATTTGAGGGATTTGGAAATCTGGGAATGCTTCAAATTGGGATCAAATCTTGGGAATTTTTTCCACTATTCCAGGTTTTTCCATCCCAAAATTTGAGGGATTTGGGAATCTGGGAATGCTTCAAATTAAGATCAAATCCTGGGAATTTTTCCCACTATCCCAAGTTTTTCCATCCCAAAAATTTAGGGATTTGGGAATCTGGGAATGCTTCAAATTGGGATCAAATATTGGGAATTTTTTCCCCTTATCCCAACTTTTTCCATCCCAAAAATTTGAGGGATTTGGGAATCTTGGGAATGCTTCAAATTGGGATCAAATCTTGGGAATTTTTCCCCTTATCTCAAGTTTTTCCATCCCAAAATTTTTAGGGATTTGGGAATCTGGGAATGCTTCAAATTGGGATCAAATCCCTCGAATTTTTCCCCCTTATCCCAAGTTTTTCCATCCCAAAAATTTGAGGGATTTGGGAATCTTGGGAATGCTTCAAATTGGGATCAAATCCCTCCAAATCCTGGGAATTTTTTTCCCCTTATCCCAAGTTTTTCCATCCCAAAAATTTAAGGATTTGGGAATCTGGGAATGCTTCAAATTGGGATCAAATCCTGGAATTTTTTCCCCTTATCCCAAGTTTTTCCATCCCAAAAATTGTAGGGATTTGGGAATCTTGGGAATGCTTCAAATTGGGATCAAATCCTGGGAATTTTTCCCACTATCCCAAGTTTTTCCATCCCAAAATTTTTAGGGATTTGGGAATCTGGGAATGCTTCAAATTGGGATCAAATCCTGGGAATTTTTTCCACTATTCCAGGTTTTTTCATCCCAAAAATTTAAGGATTTGGGAATCTGGGAATGCTTCAAATTGGGATCAAATCTTGGGAATTTTTCCCTCTATTCCAGGTTTTTTCATCCCAAAAATTTGAGGGATTTGGAAATCTTGGAATGCTTCAAATTGGGAGGGATTTTTAAGATCAAATCTTGGGAATTTTTTCCTCTATCCCAAATTTTTCCATCCCAAAAATTTAGGGATTTGGGAATCTGGGAATGCTTCAAATTGGGATCAAATCTTGGGAATTTTTCCCATTATCCCAAATTTTTCCATCCCAAAAATTTTAGGGATTTGGGAATCTGGGAATGCTTCAAATTGGGATCAAATCCTGGAATTTTTTCCATCTATCCCAAGTTTTTCCATCCCAAAATTTGAGGGATTTGGGAATCTGGGAATGCTTCAAATCAGGATCAAATCTTGGGAATTTTTCCCTCTATTCCAGGTTTTTTCATCCCAAAAATTGTAGGGATTTGGGAATCTGGGAATGCTTCAAATTGGGATCAAATCTTGGGAATTTTTCCATCCATCCCAAATTTTTCCATCCCAAAATTGTAGGGATTTGGGAATCTGGGAATGCTTCAAATTGGGATCAAATCCCTCCAAATCCTGGGAATTTTTCCCCTTATCCCAAATTTTTCCCTCCTAAAATTTAGGGATTTGGGAATCCTTGGAAATCTGGGAATTCTCACTGAATTTCCTGGAATTTTCTTCTCCCTCCAGGAAGGAAAAGAGGGAATTCCCTCCGGAAACGACGACAGAGCCCCGAAAATCCCGAGAATTCCCGAAGAAAACGACGGGAAAGGAGCGGAAATTCCGGTTTTACCGGGCCCATCCCAAGGAAAATCGGGAATTGTGGCCCCTCCAGGGGTGGATCCCGAAGTTTTCCGGGAGCTGCCGCTGGAATTGCAGGAAGAGGTGGCGGCAGAGTGGAAAAATCCGGAAAAAAAACCTCCAAATTCCCAAAAAAAACTCCAAAGGAAGAGGAAAAATCCGGGAATTTGCTCCCAATCCAACAATTTACTGAAATATTGGAAGGCCAGGTGAGAGGAATGGGGGGAATTTCCCTCTTTTTCCATGGAATGTTGGGTTTTAATTCAAGTTTAATATTAAAGTTGGATTAAATGTAATTAAATTTTACAGGAATTTCATTAAATTTTAAAGGAATTCCTGATTTTTCCTCCAAATCTTTGGGAATTTTCCCTCTTTTTCCATGGAATGTTGGGGTTTAATTGGAGTTTAATATTAAAATTGGATTAAATCTAATTAAATTTTACAGGAATTTAATTAAATTTTGCAGGAATTTAATTAAATTTTGCAGGAATTTAATGAAATTTAATTGGAATTCCTGATTTGTCCTCAAAATCTTTGGGAATTTCCCTCTTTTTCCATGGAATGTTGGAGTTTAATTGAAGTTTAATATTAAAATTGGATTAAATTTAATTAAATTTTAAAGGAATTTAATTAAATTTTAAAGGAATTTAATTAAATTTTAAAGGAATTCCTGATTTTTCCTCCAAATTTTTGGGAATTTTCCCTCTTTTTCCATGGAATGTTGGGTTGTAATTCAAGTTTAATATTAAAATTGGATTAAATGTAATTAAATTTTACAGGAATTTCATTAAATTTTAAAGGAATTCCTGATTTTTCCTCAAAATTTTTGGGAATTTTCCCTTCTTTTTCCGTGGAATGTTGGGTTTTAATTCAAGTTTAATATTAAAATTGGATTAAATGTAATTAAATTTTGCAGGAATTTAATTAGATTTTAAAGGAATTAAGGTGTTTTTTTAATAATTTAAAGTTTAATAAATGAATTTTTAAAATAATTTGAGTTTAAAGTCGCTCTGGGAAGAGTTTGGTTGTGAATTGTTTGTTTCTGGTGTGGATTAATTAATAAAAGGATTCATTAATAAAAGGATTCATTAATAAAAGGATTAATTAATAAAAGGAATTTCCTGGGGAGTGAAGGAATTGAATTTGATTTCATCCCTTTAATTAAAAGGAGGTTTTTTTAATTTGGTTTGATTTGGAATTTGATTTGATTTTAATTTGATTTGAATTTAATTTGATTAGAATTTGATTTGAATTGTGTTTAATTTTATTTCATTTGAATTTTACTTGATTTGAATTTTATTTAATTTGAATTATATTTCATTTGAATTTTATTTGAATTTTATTTTGAGTTTTATTTTATTTTGATTTGTTTTGATTTTGATTTGATTTTTATTTGATTTTCATTTTTTCTTTCATTTGATTTCTATTTTAATTTTATGATTTTCTTTTAATTTTATTTTTTTTGAATTTTTTAGTTCGATTTTTTTATTTTGATTTTTATTTGATTTTCATTTTATTTTATTTTCATTTCATTTTCATTTGATTTTATTTTCATTTTAATCTAATTTTAAGTTTATTTTTATTGTATTTTAATTTTCATTTTAATTTTAATTTTAATTTTAATTTTAATTTTAATTTTAATTTTAATTTTAATTTAATTTAATTTTAATTTTTTAATTTCAGTTTTATTTTATTTCATTATATTTTGATTTTATTTTCATTTAATTTTCAGTTTCTTTTCATTTAATTTTATTCTAATTTCATTTTAATTTTAATTTTAATTTTAATTTTAATTTTAATTTTAATTTTAATTTTAATTTGAATTTAATTTCCATTTAATTTTAATTCTTTAATTTTAATTTTAATTTTAATTTTAATTTTAATTTTTTTTAATTTAATTTTTAATTTTACTTTAATTTTAATTTTTAATTTTAATTTTAATTTCATTTAATTTTTATTCTACTTTGATTTTTTATTTCATTTTATTTCATTTTACTTTAATTTCATTTTAATTTAATTTAATTTATTTTAATTTAATTTTAATGTTAATTTAATTTAATTTAATTTTAATGTTAATTTAATTTAATTTAGTTTAATTTAAATTTAATTTAATTTAATTTTAATGTAATTTAAATTTAATTTAACTTAATTTTAGTTTTTTTTAATTTAATGTAATTTTAATTCAATTTAATTTTAATTTAATTCAATTTAATTTAACTTTAATTTAATTCAATTTAATTTAATTTTAATTTAATTTTCTCCTTTTTTAACCCCCAAATATCCCAATTTTCCCCCTCCCTTTTCCCAACCCATCCCAACCCATCCCAACCCGGAAGAGGGAAATGAAACCCTGGAATCAAAGTCCAACCTGGAGGGGAATTCCCACAATTTCTCCCACGACAATTCCCAGGAGTTTCTGCAGCCGCCCTCCCGTGACTCACAACTGCCAGGAATAGCCATGGGGTTTTATTTTTTTACTTTTATTTATTTTGAATTTGATTTGATTTGATTTAAAAAATTTGATTTATTTTTCATTTGATTTATTTTTCATTTGATTTTTTTTTTATTTAATTCATTTTTAATTTGATTTATTTTTCACTTTATTTTTATTTTTATTTATTTTCATTTGATTTATTTTTCATTTTATTTGTTTTTCATTTTATTTAATTTGAATTTTATTAATTTTTAATTTTATTTATTTTGAATTTTATTAATTTTTAATTTGATTTTATTTGATTTTTTAAAATTGTATTTATTTTTTATTGTATTTATTTTTAATTTGATTTAAATTTTATTTGTATTTAATTTTATTTATTTTTAATTTAATTTATTTTGAATTTGATGTATTTTTAATTTTATTTTTAATTTAATTTTGATGTTTATTTGATTTTTAAATTTGATTTATTTTTAATTTAATTTATTTTTAATTTAATTCGTTTTGAATTTATTTTTAATTTGATTTATTTTTAATTTGATTTGATTTTTTATTTTGTTTATTTTTAATTTTATTTGATTTGATTTTTAAAATTTTATTTTCATTTTATTTATTTTGAATTCTATTTATTTTTAATTTGATTTTTTTAAATTTGATTTATTTTTAATTTGATTTATTTTTAATTTGATTGGGTTTTAATTTTATTTCATTTTTTAATTTTATTTTTAATTAATTTCATTCAAATTTTTAAATTTTTTTTAATTTGATTTTATTTGAGTTGTTTTATTTTATTACATTTTTATTTTAATTTTATCTGATTTTTATTTGAATTTGATTTTAATTTTTTACTTTTAATTAACTTTTATTTACTTTGAATTTAATTTTATTTGAATTTTTTGATTTCATTTTGATTTTATTTTATTTGAATTTTTAAATTTTTTTTCCTTTGATTTTATTTGGATTTTTTAATTTTATTTTAATTGAATTTTTTATTTCATTTTATTGGAATTTTATTTTAATTTTATCTGAATTTTATTTGAATTTCATTTGATTTGAATTTTTTATTTTATTTGATTTTGATTTTTGTTTTATTTTTATTTGAATTTTATTTGAATTTCATTTTATTTGAATTTTTAAATTTTATTTGATTTTATTTTGATTTGATTTGATTTGAATTTTATTTGAATTTTTAATTTTATTTATTTTAATTTGATTTTATTTGGGTTTTTTAATTTTTATTTTATTTTAATTTGATTTTATTTGAATTTTATTTTATCTGATTTTTTTATTTTATTTTGATTTGATTTCATTTTAATTTGTTTTTTTGCATTTTTTAATTTTATTTATTTTGATTTTATTTCATTTTAATTTGATTTTATTTGAATTTTTTAGGTTTTTTTTTTGTTTTATTTCATTTTCATTTTTTTGAATTTTTTATTTTCTTTTATTGTGATTTGATTTTATTTAAATTTTATTTTATTTTAATTTTTATTTTTTTTTTATTTTGATTTTATTTGCATTTGAGTTATTTGAGGTTTTTTTTTTATTTTATTTGTGATTTTATTTGAATTTTATTTGGATTTTATTTGAATTTATTTTCTCTTATTTTGATTTTATTTCATTTGAATTTGATTTTCTTGAACTTTTTATTTTCTTTTATTTTGACTTTCATTTTAATTTCATTTTATTTGAATTTATTTTATTTTTTTTTATTTTATTTCATTTTAATTTATTTCATTTGAATTTGAATTTGATTTTCTTTGAATCTATTTTATTTTATTTTATTTGAATTCTTTTATTTTATTTTATCTCAATTTTATTTGGATTTTATTTGAATTTTATTTCAATTTTATCTGAATTTTATTTTCTTTTTTTTTAATTTAATTTTTCAATACTCTGGAAATTCCTGTTAAAAAAAAACAGAAAAAAACCCAAAAAAACCCTCAAAAAATCCAATTTTTCCCCTCCCAAACCAGGAAAAAAAGGTGGAAAATCCCAATTTCCTCCTCCCTTCCCAGCAGGTTTTTTTTTCCCTCATTTCCTGCCTTTGATTTGCATAAAAAGGAGGAACTTCCTCGATTTTCCAGGGGATAAAAAGGGCAGGAAGAGGCACCCGGAGGCATCAGCAGGGTTGGAATCGGCGCCTGAAGCTGCTCTGGGAGCTCCAGGTGAGGGGAAATTCCTGGGAATGTGGAAAAGTTGGGATTTGGGGGGGGTTAATTGGGATTTTGGGGGGGTTTATTGGGAGTTTTTGGGGTTTAATTTGGATTTTTGGGGGTTTTTTATTGGGATTTTTTGGGGTTTAATTTGGATTTTTTAGGGATTTTATTGGGATTTTTTTGGGATTTTTGGGCTTTTTATTCTGATTTTTATTGGGATTTTTTGGGCTTTTTATTCTGATTTTTATTGGGATTTTTTGGGGGTTTTATTGGGGTTTAATTGGGATTTTTGGGGGGATTTTATTCTGATTTTGGGGGGTTTTTATTGGGATTTTTTGGGGGGTTTTTATTGGGATTTTTGGGGGTTTAATTTGGATTTTTTGGGGGGTTTATTCCGATTTTTATTGGGATTTTTATTGGGATTTTGGGGGTTTTTATTGGGATTTTTATTTGGATTTTTATTGGGGTTTTATTGGAATTTTTTGGGGGTTTTATTCTGATTTTTGGGGGGGTTATTTGGGTTTTTGTTGGATTTTTATTCTGATTTTTAGGGGGATTTATTTGGATTTTTATTGGGATTTTTTGGGGGTTTTATTTCGATTTTTATTGGGCTTTTTTGGGGGTTTTTATTCTGATTTTTTGGGGGTTTATTGGGATTTTTGGGGGGGTTTATTTCGATTTTTATTGGGATTTTTGGGGGGGTTTTATTCTGATTTTTGGGGGGTTTTATTTGGAATTTTTATTGGGATTTTTTAGGGTTTTATTGGGGGGTTTATTCTGATTTTTGGGGGGTTTATTCTGATTTTTATTGGGATTTTTATTGGGGTTTTATTGGGGGGGTTATTCTGATTTTTGGGGGGATTTATTTGGATTTTTATTGGGATTTTTATTGGGATTTTTATTGGGATTTTTGGGGGTTTATTGGGATTTTTATTGGGATTTTTATTGGGATTTCTTGGGTTTTAATTTGGATTTTTTTAGGGGTTTTATTCTGATTTTTTGGGGTTTTATTCTGATTTTTATTGGGATTTTTATTGGGATTTTTGGGAGTTTTAATTTGGATTTTTTGGGGTTTTTTTATTCTGATTTTTGGGGGATTTATTTGGATTTTTATTCGATTTTTATTGGGATTTTTATTGGGATTTTTGGGGGGTTTTATATGGGTTTTTATTGGATTTTTATTGGGATTTTTGGGGGGTTTATTTGGATTTTTATTGGGATTTTATTTGGATTTGTTGGGGGTTTATTCTGATTTTTATTGGGATTTTTATTGGGATTTTGGGGGGGTTTATTCTGTTTTTTTGGGTTTTAATTTGGATTTTTATTGGGTTTTAATTCTAATTTTTGGGGGTTTTATTTTGATTTTTATTGGGATTTTTAGTGGGATTTTTGGGCTTTTTATTGGGATTTTAGGGGGTTAATTTGGATTTTTATTGGGATTTTTATGGGGGTTTTTGGGGGGATTTATTTGGATTTTTGGAGGGTTTTATTTGGATTTTTATTGGGATTTTGGGGGGATTTATTTGGATTTTTATTGGGATTTTGGGGTTTTTAATTCTGATTTTTGGGGGTTTATTCTGATTTTGGGGGGTTTAAAAATTTCAGGGAGGGAAAAAGAGAGAGGAAAAAAGGGAAAAACAGGAAAAAAAAGGACAAAAAAATGAGGAAAAAAAGGGAGAAAAAA